AAAATCATTTTTGCAGGCGCCGCTTAAGTGGTCCGTCTGCAAAAATAGATTTTCGCAGGCGGACAACGAACTTCACCCCGATTTATATTTTTGTAGGCGGTCATTTTGCTCCAAGGGTCATATCCGCCTATGAAAAAAGACCCCCACGTCAGGAAAAATACTTTTTCTAGTAGTGTACCACGAAGACCAAGTCTCCCACACATGATACCAAGAAGTCGCCGGTCACCGGTCCTCTGGTCAATAACTCCCTGCCGGCCAACAAGCCCCGTCCCTATGAGAGAGAGCTCGACATGAAGAAAGGAAGGAGCTAAAGGAGGGAAATGGAGTCCTAGCTGGCGAAAGAGGAAACTGGCACCCAACCTGACTACTTTGCTGACGCCTCCAAGTCATCTCCTGACGCCTCCAAGTCATCTCCTCCGACACTGCTCAAGGGGTAGAGCGGCTAGATACTGGCGTAGGTCCAGATCTGGCTGCTCCACCAACGACATGTGCCCTCACGTCCACACCACTGACCACCAAAGGTGCCGTCCGAGCCACAAGCGACCGAAGACGGTGTCTGACATAAACACAACACTCTACCTATGGCCGACCGCCACCCTCCAGGAAGCAACCACTCCGCTGACCAACTTCCTCTCGGCTGCCAACTTCACGACGAATCGGGCCCCACACAACCAAAGTTTGTTGCCAGCCAACTTCCGCCGCTGGCTACTACCGACGACATCCACACCAAGAAGGTGTGCTGTCACACCCTGAAGTTCTTCTCAGTTGAAGCTGTCTTGAAGAAGTTGGTTTCGTCGCTGCCGTCAAGGATGCTTGTGGAATGGAGTCACCCGTTGCAGGAGTCAAGTTTTCAGGCTTAGCTCGCTTTTATTTTTTCCGCTGCATTTGTAATCTTTTATTTTTTTTGTAAGACGTGGATCTGTATGTCAACAATTGTCGTTTGTGTACCCTGGCTGGTCCTGGACAGGGGTTTAATGCACATTCAGCTTAGAAATTCTGGTTCGTGAATTTCTGGGCGTGACATGTGCTATCCAGGGGCAAACAAGATCTCTCCCCACCACGGGCTGGGTACCCGAGGAACATGCTCAAAGCACATCGACATCTAGGAAGATCTGACATATGTCGAGAAGCCAGTCCGCATCCTTGAAACCAGTGAGAGAAGGACCAGAAACAAGGTGATCGGATTTTGCAAAGTTCAGTGGAGCCACCACTCAGAGGAAGAGGCCACTTGGGAAAGAGAAGACGAATTGAAGGCCACCCATCCGCACCTCTTCGCCAGCTCTTCTGAATCTCGGGGTTGAGATTCCGTTTAAGGGGTAGGTTTGTCACGCCGTGAAGTTTTCCCCTTTCTTGCTTTAAATTTGTTAAATAAATCGCCCGAAGAAATTGTTTAAATTAACCTAGAGCTAATCCATAATTAATAAATGCAATTAATAATTGGAATCGGCGTGGTGGAATTTTTTTAGTTCCCCATGCGCTAATTCATTAACATGATTTTTATTAGAATTTTCAGAGCCTTATAAATAATTTTAACCAATTAAAAGCTACAAAGTGCAATATAAATCCCTGGAAAAATCCCCTTTATTCCATTTCCCTTCTTTTTCTTTCTTTTTCCTCCCTCTCCCTTCATCATCGGCTGCTGGCCCATCTCTCCCGCCCCCTCCCAGGGTCCATCCCCCATCCCTCTCCCTCCTAGGGCGCTGACAGGTGGGTCCCACCTGTCAGTCCCTTCCCCTTCTTCCAGCCGGCGGAGGAGGCGCCGCCCCGCCCTTCCCGTCGCCTCGGGCCACGTCCCCCACCCCTCCGCCTTCCCCGCGCACCCTCGCACCCACGTCCTCCTCTCCCGCCCGTGCCCGTGCCTCCTGCCTCTCTGTCCTCCTCCACCTTCCCCCACTAACTCCAGCGAAATCGAGCCCTCTCCCGGCCACTACTCACCTTTCCCGCTCCTATTTAAGCACCCCCGCAACTCCCTCTCTCATTTTCCTTTTTCCACCAAGCTCAACCGTGCCCTCCTTTGCTCCTGCGCCGCTACACCCACCGCCACCGCCTTTTAGCCACTCATGCCGCCGCTCGCCGTTGCTAGCAGCAGCACCGAGCCGCGCCGTCGCCGCCGTCGGGTACACGCGGCCGAGGTCCACCTCGTCCACCACTCTCGTACCCAATTTCGCCACCGGAGCCCGCTTCTCCTCGCACTCTGGTGAGCTTCCACCAATGCCGCCGCCTTCGGCCATGGTTTCTGTTCACCGCGGACCTCTCTTCTCCCTCTAACCCCTCTCATCGTGCTCCCTAGGTCTCTCCCGACGCCATCCTCTGTTCGCCGACCTCCCTCCGATGCTCGCCGTCCTCGTTCGTCGTCGGTGAGGCCCTCCCCTTCCTCTCCTCTTTCTTTGCCGCTCCGCCGCTCGCCGCGTGCGCACCACCGACGTGTCGCGGTGCTGTCGCGCGCCGCCGGTTGCCGCCGCTTGCTCTGAGCGCGCCGCCCCGCCATGGCCGGCAAGCCGGCTTGGAGCCGAGCCAAGCCCAGCAGCCAGCCCTCCCCTTTGAGCCGCCGCCCGGTGGGGTCCATCTGCCAGGCGCCACCTCCCTTCCCCCTTGAGTCACTGACCCGTGGGGCCCGCATGTCGGCCCCACCCCCCTGGATGATGTCAGCAGGGACCTTTATTGCGCAATAAATATATTAAGGCTTTTCTTTTTAGAGTAAAAACACAGTGAATTTTCTAATATTCATAAGTAATTCATCCGAGCTCCGATTAAGTCCATTCAAGTCTCAGTAAATTCATAAAAATCCCTAGAATCCACTAAAAATGTTTTGTTTCCTGTTTCGGTAATCTTATAGCATGTTTTGCTTTTGTGCTTTGTTTGTCGCGTAGATTTCAATCGTTTCGTCGATCCGCGATTCCTCGAAGACGTTGCTGAGGTCCCATTAGTGCGAGAGCAAGGCAAGTCATGCATTGCAATTGATCATATTGTACCCAATTTGCAAATGTCCCACATTTCTATTAAACATTGCATTATTTTACAATATCATGTGGGATGGGTCCTATTAGTCAGCTATATGTTGTTTCTCGTACGCCATTGATAACTTGGGCATTAAAATGACTAGATGTTGGTTTAGCGAATGCTTAGCCATGCTTAGTTCAACTAGTACACAAATGGGGAATCACATTAGTGCATAGGCTTTGGTTATTAGCATAACTTTGGATTAGAGCCACCGCAATAGTGTTAGTTAATTAAATACACTATATGGTAGGCTGTGGGTGCATGGTTTTGCTAGTCGTGCCCATGGCAATTAAGGACCGGTTCGTGGGATGCCCTGGAAGAACTTATCGTACTTACCACAAGCCTATGTGGGCAACGGCTGGGCTTGTAGTGTAGCTATCCTCTAGCTGACGTACCCAGGCTATGGTGAGCGTGATGGAGTTGGGTCGGGCGGGGTGTTCGGTTGATTAGCTTTTGGATTCACCGTGGCACGAGAGGGGGCCACCTGTTGCCTGCTGGGGACAGGGGTGAAACCTGAGGTGTGGTGCCATTGATTAGAGGGGGTTATGCGAAGGGTCCTATCACGATCTCTTTCCGGTATGTCGTGGTGGCATGTCGGCGCACGAAAACATGTCATGGGGCTGTGTCTTGTGGGTACAGTTGTACACCTCTAATCAGAGTAAAACTATTCGAATAGCCGTACTCGCAGTTATGGGCGGTCGACTAGATTCACCGTAATTAGTCTCACCCCTAGTTAGCTAATGGATCCGGTTAGTTCAAGTGGTGGTTTGGGCCTGTCTCAACGTGGTGTAGCATTGAGCGGTGATTGGTTTAATAATGGTTAATTACTGCAACTGTTTTACTGCTTTCAACTCATGCTTCTAAATGTCTGCTTTATGCAAATGAACCTTTAGCCTCCTTTGGATATATCCTGCATCATACCCTCCATTCCGGTATGACTTGCTGAGTACAATGGGTAGTACTCAGTCTTGCTCTCTCTTCCCCACACCAGAGCTCAAGTTCTTTCCGGTTGGAGTTGTCTCGGAGAAGTTGGTTTCGTCGTTACCGTCAAGGATGCCTGTGGAATGGAGTCGCCTCGCTGCAGGAGTCAAGTCTTCAGGCTTAGCTCACTTTTATCTTTCTGCTGTATTTTTAATCTTTTATATTTTTGTAAGACGTGGATCTGTACGTCAACAATTATCGTTTGTGTACCCTGGCTGGTCCTGGACAGGGGTTTTAATATATATTCAGCTTAGAAATTATGGTTTGTGAATTTCTAGACATGACCGGCGGTGAGCTGCTTTCCAAGACCGATGGCTTCGATTTGCTGTGTTACTTCTTTTTTCTAGTTTTTTTTTTGCATGCGAGGAACTAGTGACTTACTCGAGGGATAAGAACCTCTACAAAGGTACGAGGGCCCACACCCTATTTCCTCCACAGCATCACGTAGCGTACCTAGCGGCATGAAGCAACTCGTCAGCGTGATGCAATGAACGGCCTTAGAGCAAGTTTAATAATATAGCTAACTACTAGCTTCAATTTATCTATAGCGAATCTAATAGCTTATTTATACAATAATTATCTATAAGCATATACTACACCATTAATATATGGTCCCACCTCTCATACACACATAATATATTGAAGTCCATGCTGCAGCTGGCTTAAAAATCTGTAGCCCATTTTCCTTTTTTTCTCTTCTTTTTTCTTCTCGTACTCACAGGGAGACTACCACTCTTGAGTTAAGTATGACTTGTGTGCTGCAGCCAAGCAGCGGACGGACACGGACCCGAGGCCCCATCACAATCTCCTCCTGTCCTGCCCGGTGTTTCCCAAACCACTAGGACTGGTGTTACCGCTCCCCGACAGTAAACACGGTTACCGTAACCGTAAAAAACCGTACGAAATCGTGCAAAATTTATCAAAAATTTATTTTTTTTAAATTTATTTAAATTTAAAGAGGTTACTATGACATTTATATTACCGTACCCCCGTAAGAAGAGGGGTAACCGCGACGGTAATGTAAACCCGCGCCCTCCCGATTTCCCGATACGATATCCTCCGCCCCGCCGCCTCTCCCGTCGCCACCCATCTCGCCGCGACCTGGAGATCCCCTTCGCTGTCTCTCACGCCGCCACCCTTCCCAGTCTTCCACTACCCTGATCTGATTGAAATGTCGGGTTCAACCCGATTCGGGTGTCGGGGTTGGGGGTGGAGGGGGGGGGGGGGGGGGAAGCGACACATTCCCATCCCATCGTGCAACACACACGTAGCTCGGCAGCCGACTGGAGGAGTTCACCCCCATTCGACCGAGGCGACACATCCAGCGGCAAAGGAGGTAAGAATCGTTTCCCTTTTTTTTTTTCACTTACTGATTGATTGATCTTTTCAATTGTTGTGCGGTTTTGTCGATGTAATGGCGCCATTCGCCCGTCTCAACGGCGCCGATGTGAATCTTCTGCAGGCAGGTGGATCCAGAAGCGCTGGCATTCAATCGGAGGAGACGACATGGAGCCACGAAGCTATTGGCACCTGTAAGCTCACCACAGTGGCTCGTACGGATCGGAGGCGAGAACCCCCAACCGCGACAACGACCTCCTGATCTGTTGTATGTATCTGATTCAATTCCTTGTGTGAATTTTGACGCCATTTCGGTTGCCACCATTTTCTGAATGTGCAATACGCACTGCTGCAGGAAACAGCGCTGTTGCTAGCAGGCTGGCTGCTGCAGTGCAGCCCTGCAGCCAGCTCTTCCCAACGGCGCCATTATTGGCATTGCCCTAGCAGCTCAGATTCTTGCCTTTGCCTTTCCCAGCTGTGCTCGATCATCCTTCGTGTCTTGACCGCCGTGCTCCGGTTGGAGTTCCAACTTCCAAGGTTCGATTTTTTTTTCTCTTTCTCTGCTACATCGGTCCATATGTGTTCAATAGTTTATCGGCCGGCTTATCCAAGTCGAGCTATTTGATTCTTTTATCCATTGAATTTCGTACTATTTACTACCTTATACAAATGCATTGTCCGGTGTGGTACGGGAAAGAAAAATAGATAGATCGGCTTGTCATTTGCTCCTGTTGGTGATGAAGCATTGTGCAAGACTAGAACCCAAAAGGCCTTACCTTTTTTTCTGTTTCAGGGAGCACTGTAAAAAAAAAACTTTATCAGGATAAATATGAACTATATGTTCCCCTGTTTCATTTTGTAATAAATAGTTTGTTGATGGCTTTAATTTTCAAAATAGTTTTTAGCCTTCTTGTGTTCTATATTTCTACTTTTTTACTCCCTCTTTTATTATAAGATGTTTTGGGCTTTGAATAGATTCACGCTTCATATATGTATCCAAATTCATATGGATGTTAGTGAATCTAGATAAGGGATGGAAAGGCCAAAACATCTTATAATGTGGAGCGGAGGGAGTATATGCTATGTAAGGTGCCATATCAACTACCAAAAGCTTTGTGTCATTAGCTCATATTACACAGCATTAGTTTTCCTAACTTGAATTTTGATACTATGTGGCATGCAAACTACAACCTTTCTTTTACATTAACCAATGCCAGTTTAAACATTAGCATGTTGTTTAAAAGATATCATGTCTAAACAATAGTATGTGATTGCACTTTGTTTTACATTTACTGAATTATATGATAGGCACAACTCGTTCTTCCCTATTGTAGTATACTAGCATTTCTGTAATTACTTCATTCTCCACATTATAATTCCTATTGTTTATAGATGGCATGCAAAATATTTGAGGGGGTACAGATGGATGCATACCTTAATCAAGAACAAAGACAACAATTTTCAAAGCAAATATCTAGTGTTGTTTGGATGATTAGGGTTGACAGCGCAGCCAAGGAAGATGATTTGGCAACCAAGGACTATGCATATGTTGCTGGTGTGTGCATGAGTCCAGTGGGGCACATCTTGACATCAGCGCATGTTGTGAAACCTGGTGTGAAGTATGTTGGTGCATGCACTTCATGGAAAGCAGGCTGGACTCCACTAAGGGTAGTGAAAACATCTATGGCTTATGGGATGTGTTTATGTCAGTTGGAACATGAGAGCCGTAAAAAGACTGATTACACTAATTTAGCAGAATCTGGACTCTTGAGTGTTAACCAGCATGTATATGGATTTGGACATCCTAATTTATTCAAAATACCATGTGACTACAGTTTTGTGAGAGGTTCAGTTGAGTATCCATGTAAGGATATTTCGGAGCTGCCTAGTTTAAATGATTTGGACCGTTTGCTGTATGAAGGTTTGCAAAAAGAAGGACTTAAATTTGATCGCATGGAAGCTATAGTTCTCACTCCTAGAAAAGTGAAACATTTAATGTGGTTGATTGACTCGTCATTTAGGCCAAAGACCATATACCAAATGCATCAAGACATACCACTAATTCAGATAAAAAACTTCCATGTGAGTCACTGTGGCAGTCCAGTGTTCCTGTCTTCCGGGCATATTGTTGGTATAGTCTTATTCAAATTTCATGAAATCAACTTTGCTGTTCATTTATCAGCAATCAAAGAATTTCTGAAGGAATTTGATTTGGTGAGTTTTACAGTAAAATAATTTTGCTTTCCTACAAATATTAAGTCGTTATGGTAGTCGATAATCTCAGTTCCAATAGCTCTCAGATATTCACAAAGGCCGTGAGTGTAGATAATTAGTGCAAGATGGATTTACTGCCTAATCTATGAGAAAACAATTATATTGGCTTGTGTAACAAAATCTATTCGTGTTTTCAGATGCCTCAACATGTGGATGCACCTTCCATGGCTGAGAATGCCATTTCAGATCAAACCCCAACTGCTGAACCTGCACCTGCTAGTGTTGCTACGACTGAAACAGTGGATGGAAGTTCAGAGCAGCACACTTTGCTAGGTAAAGGAGTTGATGCCCTGTTCCACATCTGTATGCATGAAGTGTTAGATATGAGGTTGTCGCCAAACAGAACTTCTGTTTCTTGTTTGGAAAGTTGCTGTTGAACTTGTCATGAAAATGGTAGCAGCATGTTTGTTATAATTTCACACAAGGTTGGAGTTTATAGCACATGTGATGTTGGAAAGCAGCACATTTTTGATAGTCAGATAACCTTGATCTCAATGATATTATGATATGGCTGTATATGTAGCTTAGCTTTACAACTTGCAAAAAACGTAGCAGCCTGAATTTCTGGAAGACCTGAATTTGCCGGTGCCTCTACAATCAGATGTATATCCGTGGTCATTATCTTAATCTGCAAATGAAGCTAGCAATAACAGAATTGTTGGATGCATATCCTAGATAGCTTTCTTAAGCTGCAAAAAGAGCCAAACTTAGCATAGTCATTTTATGGCATAAGGTGGAAAGAGCAAAAGTGTAAGTACTGAGAAATCAAAATCTGCATGAAAACATACCCTATTGAAGTCTTCAACTTCGGAAACCATCATGATCCAGATTACTATAACTGAAAAGCATCTGTCCAAGTGTGATAATCTATTGACCTAGTTTATGCTGTTGATGTCACTTTTGGTTGTGTTTTCACGATTAGCAGGTTAAGTTTTGGACAGTAGGCTACATTTCAGTACAATTTTTCTGTGCAGATCTCTATCTACTTTAGTTGTTTGTCGATTATAAAGTGAGCACTACATTTTTTTGTGTCACTTAAAAACTTTATTTGAATTTACCATGTTAATTATGCCCTCAGTCCAAATGTGATAATCTGTTGACCTAGTTGATGACTTGTTCATCATTCAAATTTGAGCTGTGCATCCTTTTACTGAAAAAAAATAGTGTTTACTGGACTATTGATAGACTATATGTTTCAAGGTTCAGAAACTATTGATTTGGTTCCCTGATAATGTTCCCGGTTTCCTGTAACTTGTGAGTGTTCTTACTTCGAAAAAATAACCAATATGTAAGTGTTCTATAAGAAATACTATAGCATTATCATCAGACTATTTATAGCATTTCAGTACACCATATCATGCAACTAGAGCACAGTAATTGCGAGGCAATTTCTGTTATGTGACCTTGACTTTTTTAAGTGATCAGGGAAGGAGATGCAGCCTGTGTAATGCAAAATAGTTATATTTTGAATTCAGGGGATTTGAAACAGATGCAATTTTTGTAACGTATATATTCAGAATTTCTTTTGCTGATGTCTACAACTGGGCACTTTGGTGCATATATTTGCTTTCACATGCAGAACTACAAACTTAAATGTAGTTGAATAGAGTAATTCATGGGGATGGAATCTGCAATCAACTCTGAACCTTCCCTGTACTGTGTTCAATAGTCCATACTTGTCTACATTTTTGGTTCATACTCCATTATATTGTTACTGTCTAGAGACCAATGTAGTCCTGGGAGGACGGGAAGGGCATAGCCCAGGGATGACAACGGGATGCACAAGGAAGCGAAATCTAAGAAGATCGATGCAGTGCCGAAAAAATTTCTTCCCGTGAAGGGATTAATATATCGGTTGTGTAATCTCTATTGGGGTCACCTGTACGACCGAAATACTCTAAAATGATTTGAAATTTGAAGACAATTTGGTTAATGCAAAATTCGTGAAAGTTTGAAAGAATTCAAAAGTTACGGACGAAATAGTCTCCTATAGGCTATAGAGGATGCAATAAACCCGAAATTTCTGCAATCACGTTCCGGGAAATTAAACCCTTATACTGACGAATTCCAAATTTCAGTTACCTGACAAATATAAGTAGCAAGCAAATTGTCATCCCTGGGCTATGCCCTCCCCGTCCACCCCTCGATAGGCAATCCATCGCAAGACCTAGTTCCGTTCCGCCTTCCCTCGCGTCCTCGTCGGCGGCGGCGACCACAGCATTGGTGCCGCCTTTAGAAATTTCCGAAATTTTTGAACCGAAATTGCAATCAGCCTAAATTTCAGAAAAGCTTAACTGTTATTGTTGCCTGCTAGAATTGCTGGTGTTGCTGCTGCTTGTTTCTGCTTCCTGCTAGAACTGCTTGCTTCTGCCCGCTGAACTGAAGCTGAAGTCCGTCGATCTTGCTGAACTCTTGCTGTCATATGGTGCTACCTAGTACGTGACTACTGAATTGAAACCGAACTAAAGCTCAAGTTGATTTTATTGCTGGTGCTTTTCCTCCTGCTACTGTTGCTATCTGAAAGCTGCTGGAGCTAAGAATTGCTTGCTTGCTTCTTGGTACCGATATGCTGTTCATGTGTTGCTGTATCTGTTGCTTTCTCCTTCGGTTGTAGGCAAAACTGATTGTTGTTGCATACTTGCATGAGGGAGATCGGTCATTGCTGTAGGGGCGGGAAGAGCACGGCTCGCGGTCCGCGTGTGAGGAGGAAAACAATTATCTATCTAGTATACATACAGTAAAAGTCGATTAAATTTTCTACAAACGCTCTTAGGTCGCTACATGGCACTCCTACAAATACTATCTATCTAGTATATAGTAAGAGTCCATTAAACTTTCTATAAACGCTCTTAAGTCGCCATATGACACTTCTACAAATACTCTTAGGCTGCCACATGGCACAATCTAATCTCACCATCGATTTTCACCTAAATTAGTGGACCCATTATTTTATACCGTTAGATTAGATCTTTACCTGCCATATATATAATACATTTCTCCCGTACGTATGTATGGTTTGCCAGAAGGATTAATAACTATGGTTGTTAGAAGCTGAGATTAATTAGCTGTCATACTGTGTCACTACTAACTCACTACTAACTCATAGCTATATTTATTATATACACGACAATATATATGGAAGCTAGGAGATTAACAAGAAGATTATATATAGCTAATTAAATTAGTTATACATAATTTGTGGAAGGAGATTAACGGAAATATAACATATACAACTAATTAAATCAATTTACATGGCTTTACCGCGACATTACGTAGCTAATTCGAACCAGGCAGTCTCCAGTTAAATCGTCCAGCTTAAATCACTTTATCTAAGATTGCCTTTTAAGTCGTTATGATGACTTTAAAATTAAAAAAGATTTTCTAAAAAACAAAATACATGATAATCGGTTTTTGACCTAAATGATTTAGAAAAATTAGAAAAACAAAGTCCACTCCACCTCACCCTCACCATCAGATATGCACAACACTTTCTGTCCCCTCACTTCTCTCTATATTTTTGGAGTAGCTATGATAAAGAGAAACAAACAATAATATTGAAACAACCATAGTTATTTTAAGCTACACGTATCATATCTCTATCTAATCTAACTGTTGCACTATACATAATTAAACCAACAATTTGAGATTCATAATAAATTAAAATTGATAATGCATATTACGGTCGGAACAAAATCAATGGTCACTAAAATATAAATTTTTACCATATAAAAATATATTACTCCACAAATATGCGCAAATATAAACTAGATCTATAATATAAATAAAAATATCAAATTAATTATCTCTAAACATTCATCTTTTAAATTATTTTTAAATTATATAACCAATTTGTGATCCCGTTGTATTCCTTTAATTAAATAAAATATTTGTGTCTTATAAAATTTATATTGCGGTTCCAAATACATCACCACATCTTGGGCAAATATATAATAATTAATGTTATGATAATTTTAACTAATTTCATATCATATTTTAGGATGTCAAATATCACTTGATAAATGTACTATGTAATTGAGAAAAAAATAAAACAATTTAGTTATGCTTTTTTCAAGTAGATCCGATTTAATTTTAATTTGTTTCGATTAAGTTCTCGCAGTTTATTTTAGTTTTCCAAAACTATTAGATTGGTATCTGAGAAGTGAGCACCATACATGGTACATACATGTAAAAATATATCAAAAGTATTTCATGTCAATGATTTTGCTATAATACAACCCCTTGATTCATCGTGAGATTTATGGTGATGTATGTATGCCATATTTTTCTTTGCAAGATAGTTTCAACAATAAATGAACAATCAAATAACACATCAATAAAGGGCTCATGATATATTAATATCTAGGAATTTTAACATGCCATGCATACTTGATGGATGTATATCATACACCCCAACGATGTGACTATAAGTATACTGCCATGAATTAGTTATTATAAGTAAGTTTGGAAGAATACATAGATTCTTTAAATTAGCAAAGGTGTATCATGTTGTTGCCAACAGTAAGTGTTCAAAACAAACCAGGTGGTAAACTATAGGTATTTGTCAAAATATAAACAATAATACAGTGTTTTGGAGATTATCGTGGTGGTATGTCTCTCTTTTGGCTATTTTTTTCAAGTATCATCGGGTGATGGACCTCGCTTCTTTTTGAATGAGAGTATTCTAGCTATACTATAAAAATTTGAGTAGTAATGATTAAAATCTTAAACATGTCGTGTCTACTATATACCACAAATATACTCAAAACATAAAGAACAACTATCTTGCTCACCTTTATCTTTCCTTTGTCCTTCCTTGAGGGGCACCAAGCATAAACAACAGAGTTTGCTACGCTACCGTAAGTATAAGGGCGTATATATGGGCTGAGTTAAGACGGTCCCAGTGTACCAATACAATACTATATAAGGGTGTGATAGTAAATTAGACATTAAAATTGTGCTCTAAGTTGATTTCAAGGGATCACGGCTATCTCGATGAGAGACCCATCTTTCAAGGCAGTAGAGTAAGAAAGTCTGGACGATTATGACTGGCTTCACCCACTAAAGGACCATTCATGTTTAATTTTAATGGTGTATCCTATTAATCCGTAGAAGTGGTATTTTTAGAATATTTATATATGGATTTGGAAATGAGTGAGACATATATGCGATTTCATCTATTAATAGGTACTCAACTTTTAAAATAGTGACGACAAGTTTTTGTGACAATAGAAAAATTCATATGTAACTGGAACAAAATGATTTTTTAGTTTGACATACATTGTTAAGTATATTAAAGTCTTTCTCACAGCATACAAATGGTGAGATATGACTTTATTTAACATTATTTCATATAACAATAAATAAGATGCCTGCGTATCTGCGCGGGTTTTCTTCCTAGTTAGTTTAATAGATTGCTTTGGAATTAATAGATGGGCCTTAGCCCATTCGAAGATTAATTTTTTGAAAAATCACAAAAGCCTATCTCATGGGATGGCATGCATGGGGAGTTTAGTACCACCTTGATTATCTTAGGAGAGGGAGACCTCCTTATAAGGGAGGATGCTATCCTAGCCACTTTAAGCATGTGAGGGAGAGAGAAGAGGGGAACACGCGCGTGCTCGCTCACCTCGCATGGCATGGCATGGCGGCACGCATGCATGACGTACACGCCGAATGGTTCCTCACCCTTGCGCAGATGCAACCTCCTTTTGCAGTTTTGTTTTATTGCGGGAAATTCAGATTTGTTTGTTTTGGAAACACACTGAATAATCTGGTGCGTGAAACAGCGTGGAGTCCAGATAAGTTACGCACGACTTATCCGGTTCGGTTACGCGGAGTGGAGATCGTGCAGGCGTCCTGATCAAGCGTCCTGATATCTCTATATAAGTTAAGCCGCCGCCTCCACGCAACACATGCAAAATCAATCTAGAATTTGCCTCCTCCTATGTACTGCGTCGTCGCTCATAGTCTACTCCATCCCATTCGTTAGCGTGCACCGGCGATCAGGAGAGTAGGTCTCCGCAACCTTAGCCTTCGACATCCTGCACCGGGAGATTGATAAAAACTCTGCCAATTTAAACAACAAATTGAAACAAAACAAACAAAACAATGGCAAAACAAAGTCAGAAATCATATATAATATTGAACTCATTTGCTTTCAGTACATGCGTCATCACATGAAGAATCCATTATATATACCTTTACATAGCCTCACAAATCGATCAGGTGACTATTCCACAAGTCGACCAAAGATTGAAATTTTGATTATTTAATTAGTAAAAGTATGTATATGGAAAGTATTGTAAAGTAACAAACTTGCCGCGTACACACCTTAATTATAATTTCAAAAGGAAAATATTTATGATGATCATAATTTGGATTAGAAAAGGAGGAGAAAAGAGAGGAGATATGAAGGAGAGGGAGAGGACAGGATGATCGGGAGAAATAGAAAAAAAAAGAGAAAAAAGAGCTGGTTAGGGGATGGGCGCGCGGCTACGCAGAGTGCAGGCTTGCAGGACGGGGGTGGTGGGATGGTGTGGGCGGGTGGATTGGGTTGGGTTGGGTTGGGCTGGGAAGGGGAGGAAGGGGGTGTATAGCGGTTTTTATAGAGTCATGTTGAATTGGATACGGGTAACATAGAATCAATTCAGACATGGATGATGTACCAAAATTTTGCTGGAAACATTTTTAATTTTTATAATAATAGAGATAAAGATATGATGTTTATGTGCTATTTGGAATTGTTGTTGTATATGTTGCTTGCTGGTGCTGCTGCGGTTGTAGGTGGAACTGATTGCTGTTGCATACTTGCACGGGAGGAGATCAGCGTCAGGTAGTAGTGCAAGCGGAATTGGGAAGAAACTACATATCGGTCATCCGATTTCACCCAAAAAAAAATCGGGCGATCAAATGTTTCAATTGACTATCGAGTGAAACATTAAATAGTACATAGTGAAACATTCAAAATATTTGTGGAACACGATGAAAACACATTTTGAGGCATGTCGCTATAACATATGAAACAATGCATTTTAATGACTTGAACATATATTTTTTTTCATCAGAATATATTCATGTGATATCTTGTTACGAAGATTTAATCACAACGAATTGAACGGTCTTATCCGATTTGTCGATTTGATAAGTAGTTTTGAAGAAAAATTGATTTGGAGATCACTACATACCTATATTCATGGATGGAGCAGAGAGAAAACTGAGTATATGGTAGGAGAATGACAGGGCTCGGGCGCCCGACGGGGGTGGAGCCGATCGGGCGATCCCCCCGCGCGCCCCTCCCCCCACGCGCATGCATGCAGCCCCTGGACCCCACTGCATTCTCTGCTCCCACCTGCCATTGCAACAAATCACCCACATATTTTAGAAACCCTTTATTAAGGGAATTTGGTTTATTTTTTGTTCCACCAAAAATGTTTCATCTAGTGTACTTATAATGTTTCACTATGTATAGATCTAATGTTGTAGTGAACTGAAATATTCCATTGCAATAAAAAACCCACATATTTTGGAAACCCCCTATTAAGGGAATTCGTTTCATTTTTTGTTCCACCGAAAAATGTTTCATATAATGTACTTATAATGTCTGTATGGATCAAATGTTGTACTGAACTGAAACATTCTTTCGCTATTTGCTAAAATATTATTTTTATATAAGGTGAAACAACACCCGATTTAAATGAGTGAAACATTTTCGATCTACTTAGTGAAACAATATACCTGGTGGAACATCGTGCAACATTTAAAAATAATTCAATAATAAGCTAAAAAAATTTTTCGTCGGAATATATCCATGTGTCGTCTTGTTTTGAAGATTTAATAGCAACGAATTTAATGGTTCAATTGGATCATGATTTGGATAAATAATTTAAGAGAAAAATCAGTTTAAAATAGTTTTACATGTAAATCGGACGTTGACGTCATGCTAACGTCAGCGTCAGATTTTCCTCCAAACCGATCGGATGGCCGACCTGTAGACTCGTCCTATATGGTAGGAGAGAGAGTAAAAGAAGATACATCCAATATTTGAGGAGAAAAACGGATTTTTGTTGGTAGTTTAACGCATGGCCTATTTTTTATAATTTGGAAATCAGTTTTTTTTTCTTTTGAGAGATGAGTATTTCTCGCTTTATAAATTCAGTTTATGAAAAAAAAACAAAATTTGGGAGAAATTATAGATCTGTAGGTAGGGATGAAAATGGAGCGGATACGGACGGATAATGCTTATACCATATTCGTTTTCATATTTTTTACCGGATACGAAAACGAATACGGATAGCTCGAATACGAAAACAAATACGGATTATCTCGAATACGAATAAGAATCGAATATGATCGGACACGAATACGGAAACAAATTTTTCTCGGAACACGAAAACCAACTCAACTTCTAATAGAAATAAATTTCAACATATATAATTAGCTCATTTTATATAAAATGAGGTATAATTTATAAATATTTTTTAAAATTTAAATAATATTAATAGTATGGACTAGTGTTAAGAGATAAACTATTATTAAAATCTATAAAGGTATATTGAAGGTTATAGAGTTAGAAAGAAATGGGGTATGTCAAATGGGTCCTGCGGATATCCGAATAGCACTGTTCATCGGATATCTGAATTATTATCCGTATTCGACGGAAACCCTGATACCATATTCGTATTCGTATCCGGGAGAAAATATCCGTATTCGTATCCGTATCCAAAATATCCGAGAATTATCCGATTCGAAAGGTATCCGTATCCGTTTTTGTCCGGAGCAGACGGAAACTATCCGCTCCGTTTTGATCCCTATCTGTAGGTGATGCCCTTACTATCGAAAAATCAGCTCCCTAACAAATAACAAGCAAAGGTGTGCTACAAATAACGATCTCCACCCCTCGATCGTCCATCCGCCACTCTCACGTCCACACGTACGCGTCGTTGTCGGCGGCGACGACCGCAGCATGGCGCCGCCCCTGGAAGACGACGATTTTCTCCCGGAGATCCTCCTCCGCCTCTCCCCCCGGACGTACGACCCCGCGCGCCTCGTCCGGGTCTCCGCCGTCTGCAAGGCCTGGCGCCGCGTCCTCGCCGACCCGAGCTTCTCCGGCCGCTACCGCGGGCTCCACGGCCCAAGGGCCCCCGTGCTCGGCGTCCTCCACAACCCGACCGACTGCGAGCTGGACCGCTTCGTCCCGACGGCCACGTCCTCCTCCTTCCGCCCGTACGCGCACGCCTCCTTCTACTCGTTGGACACCGGCGAGGCGGCGAGTGGAGGTTGGACCACGTCTGCATCCACCTCGGCTCCGAGCTGGAGCCTGGAGGGGTACTACCTCGAGGACGACCGGCCCGCCGCCCACGTCGTCGGCGACTCGCTCTACTTCGTCGGCAAGTCCGGCGTCCTCCTGCGGTACCGGTACGGCCGTCTCCTAGTTATAGACAGCGACGTCCTGTCGGTGATCCAGCCGCCGCCGGACGCCAAGCGACGCCTCCGTCTCGGCTACACCGTCGTCATGGCGTCCCCGGAGAACGAGCTGTGGATGGGGATTCTGCACCGTCACATGCTCTCCCTGTGGGCGAGGGAGGAGGAGGACGACGCCGCCGCCGCCGCCAACGCCGGGTGGGTGCGGCGCAGCGTGATCGATCTCAAACCGGTGCTCCCGTGGCCGATCGGGAAGCCCAAGGGCAAGGAGCGAGCGTGTTTGGCTGTAGTTGACGAAGACCCCGATGTCATCTTCGTGGGCACGGAGGAAGACGACGGTGTCTTCGCCGTGGAGCTCGAGTCGCTGGCTCGCTGCGCATCAGGAAAGTATGCGAGGTTGGCAAATCAGGAGGCTGTTTGTTTCCCTTCGTGAGCTACTGCGCCGAGTCATTTCTGGTACGGATGCACGCATGACTTCTCCTACTCCTCTGTGTGTGTATATATATATATATGTTTGCTTGTTTGGTTGGTTAAGATTATAATCTCAGAAAGAAATAGTCAGACAGACAAGTAAATCATCAGAATTGGGAAACTTTTTTAACAGCTTGAGTAAACATCCACCCGTTTATTGCATGCTATCTAAATAGTTATGAAAGAAATTAAAAAAATATGAATAAGATTGATCAATATATAATTTATCAATTCATAAACATGCAAGTTAAAAATTAACTTTTACAAATCGTAACAAAAATAACAAACAAAACTCAATTTACTATATGTATATATACAATTAAATTTGTTATTTTTTTACAACGTGTAGAAGTTGAATTTGAACTTGCATGTTTGTGAAGCGATATATTACATATTGATCTATCTTGTCAATTTTTTTTATTTTTGTCAGAACCATCTAATTGATATGCAATAAACAGGTGCACGTCCACTCGAGCTGTTAGAATCCATCTTCCATCAGAATTATATATACTTTATTCTCATATGCTCATGCAAGTGAGATTATCGTTGATCTATAATTAACATGCATGATTTACTATATACTCTATTCTCATATATGCTTAGAGCAAGTTCAATAGTATAGCCAACTACTAGCTCCAATCCATCTATAGCCAATCTAATAGCTCATGCATACAATAGTTACATACTACACTATCAATAATTGGTCCCACTTGTCATACACACACTGTGTCTTGGAGTCCGTACTATAGCTGGCTACAAATCTCTGTAGCTGATCTATAATTAACATGCAATCATGCATGGTTTGCAAACCCATGAGAGCTATTAGCAGCCCCGCGGCCCAACTTACCCGCCGGTCCACCAGCCCCCACAAAACACACCCCTCCTAGGCTCCTCCCCTTCGCCCTCGCCTCCCAAAATTCACCGCGATGCCGCCGCCGCCACCCCTGCCCCGCGGCGGACCGTTCGTGGTGGCGCCTCGACCTCCTCGCTCGGGGGTGTCCAAGTACGTACTACTAGCGACTCACTAGCAGCGGCAACCTAGAAATCCCCACTCAAGTCCCAAATATGTTGACGCTTGCAGGGAGTTGCAGCCGATCTCTAACTTATATTGCCTGCTTTTGATTTCAAACTTCTGTTTTGTATGAAACTAGCAGTGGTGTTAGTGTCAATTCCTCTGCTGCTAATGGTGAGAGCCTAAGTGTACAACCCAATATATCGTTTTTTGGAATATGTTTAAAACTCATTGATTTATCCTTCTTTAGTGTCCTAATATTTTATATTTTACAAATATATACATATATACTCGCCGTATCGACGTATTCATGTTTTTAGAAAATCCCGTATCCCCGTATCGACGTATCCGTATCACTGTACCAGTATCGCGTATCTGTGCAACATAGGAAAGCATAACAGGTTCTCAATGACCCATTGTGATCAGAATTGTGTGTATTAGCATCAATGCTCTTTCTTACAATATTGCTGTCAGTGTGGACTGTGGAGCACGTCGTCTTAGCGAACTTATGCATTTAGTTCTGAAGATTCCTACAATTTGCAAATCAGTCTTTAGATCTCCTTATTTTCCCGTCCTGTATAGGTTTCCTTTAGGTTGGTGATGTTCAGGCCCTTCGTTGGGGAGGTTCTCGTCGGGAAGATAAGTGGATATGATGAAAAGGGTCTGCATGGTGAGTTGTTTATTTTCTTATTGACATTTAAAGAGCTGGTTAGTTGGCAAACTCTTATCTTATACTCCCTCTATCCCAAAATATAGGCATTTTTAGCATAGTGTCAAGTCAAACATTTTTTATTTTGATTGTTAATAGAAAAAAAATAAAAATAAAAAAGATCAATCATGTAAAATTGATATTACTAGATTTATCATTAAACAAACTATCATAATATATGCAAACTCTTTTTATTTAAAACATCTTATTTTATAGATATTGTTAGTTAAAATAGCATCTTGAAGACTATGTCGAAGTTCGAAAATGTTTATATCTTGGGACGGAGTGAGTAGTTATCTTGCTTGTTGGATTGTTCCATTCCTTTTGTAGCAGTTGTCTATAGCATCGGAATTTTTATGTTCATATTTTCATGTCATAGTATGTCTTATGTCTTCTAAGCATAAGACACGAAATTTGTATGTGATGTTTAACATTGTATCCCTTGCACTATTTTATCATGAGTCATGCTGTTTGAAACAATGGACTAATTTACTTTCTCATATATCCTTTTATTTCAATGAAATAGATGTTGATTAATATCCTGGTATGTTTCTTTGCCACTCTTGACTTGATTACTAACCTGGAATTAGTATCCTCAATTGCGTAAGAGTGATTAGCACGATACATTCCTTGGGGTACACAAATCATTGTTAGCTAAATATCTGGAGGGTAGTGCCGAACTATAGTTATTTATTTTCAGTATAGTATTCTGTTAACTGAATATATAAATTTTATCTTTGACAAGAGTGTACTCTTCACTGATTCATGTTCTTTACTGTTGGACTATTTGTGCTCCACATGTGTAAAAGTTACAAATGACCCCTTCCTCTTCTGGTACTAGTTAGTAGGAAAGGCTGCATTCACAAACAATTGGTTGAGCTGTTATAGCTACATTTGTTTGGCAGTTTCGCTTGATTTCTTCAATGATATATGCATTCCCGGGCACTTGATGCAGTATGGCACGGCTAGGTAATGTTTTCTTTTATTGTTCTTGTACAGCAGTCACAACAACTATAACTAGTAATATGCCTGTGCTAAATGCTACGGTGCAATTCTTTTTGTCTTTAATAATTTTTAAAATTTGATGTTAGTAAAAAATATTTTTCTATGATTTGTGCATTTGAACTTTAATTCAATTCATGTTGTACATCAAATATATTTCACGTAAAGTACAATAATATGATATTGCGTGTGCACAATAAATCTTTACAAAAATTAATTACCTTGTAGGTAAATAACTATCCTAATGTTTAAAATTTGCGATACACTTAAGAAATTACTTAAGAAATTCTCGTACACCGTTAGGAATGTTGCTTTTGCACTTAATTTGTTTCACAATTTCAAATTAGTATTTCATAATGTATAATAATATAATAATTGTTGGCCATCTCGTTAATGAATTCAGAGCGATGAATCAATGTGCGATTAATTAACTATTTGCTAAAAAAACTTTAAAATGGATTCGCATGTTACGACTAGAAAAATTATATAGAGTACAATAAAAATATAATTTTCAAATGCCATGAACTCGGATGTTCCCTTAGGTCGATTCCATTAATTTTTCTTTTGTCTTATGTACTTAAAAAAATATTGATTTTTCTAGTTGTCTCACAAGGCACACGTGGGCCGTAGCCCATTGAAACATAGCATGAGCGCGTGAATATAAATCTAAATAACAGTTTGATATGATACATATATCAAAGTAATAGTTCCAGAATGTATAACAATATAACATTGACAATATAACATTGGTTGGTCATCTTGTTAGCGTCTTCTTTCAAGGTCGACATGGAACGTGTATTAAAATTTGCCGACGAAAAAGTATATATTTAGAGAGACACAAGTGTTAACATATAGTCATGTTATCAGCCCGGTGCAAACTGACGCATGTAGAATGCGATGATATTTTGAAGATAATGACACAATATTCCACCTAAATGGTGATGTCGTGTTGTACAAAACAAAAGGATGTTGGTGAGTAACATTCCGATTAGCAATTTACTACCTTCTAGAATGTTTTCGAATTAATTTTGATCATGCGAACCTACCTTTACTCACCAGTCAAGAACATCTTTATATACGATATTCCTAGTGCTCTTCCCTGTGGGGTCTACTTCTTTCTTTGGCTTTGCCAAAATCTTTGTTGTTTGCCTTGAGAAACCCCTTGACAATGCGACATAATGCTGAGCATGTGAAAAAATGGGCTTTGGAAGATTGATCCCAACATTTGGGATGGTTTGTCCTTGTGATTTATTAATGGTCATTGCGAAGCTGAGACATATTGGAAATTGCTTCTTCTTGAATTTGAAAGGAAGAGATATATTATCGGAGGGAGACAAAGGGATATGTGGGATGAATGCCCTTTTGCTAGCATGTTGACCACCAATAATCTCAACATCAATTGCATTATCTTGAAATTCTCTTACCATTAGTCTAGTTCTATTGCACAACTCATTATTAGGATCAAGGTTGCGAAGAAGAAGCACGAGACAATTTATTTTTACTATTAGCTCGTGTGGTGGGAGATCATTTGGAGTGGTAGAATTAAGAAAGTACATAGAATAGTATTGTGAGGGTCATCATCAACAGAGTCAAAGCTATAATAAACCTTGGTTTGCCCTGGAAGTTTGTGGATCATATTTGCATTCAGCGTATCCACATAATCATTTTTAGTGGATAGAATGGCCTGTGTGCTCATATAAGCTACAAAGCTTGCTTTCTTTTCATCATGAAGTGAGGGAAACACATGATCAATCAATTCATTTACTGAATCCTCGCTGTCCCCATAAGGAATCACAATTTCATTAGGCAAGCGAACGTAAATCATCTCTGATAGTGTTCTCAGTGTCATTTCCAATCCTAAGGAGATAATCCGAAAACCATATATCTGATTGAGCCCTCATGTTATGTGGATACGCTGAATGCAAATACGATCGACCGATTTCTAGGGCAGACAAAGGTTTATCACAGATTTGACTCTGTTGATGATGACTCTCACAATAGCTATCCTCTGGACTTTCTTAACCCCATCACTCCAAATGGTTTCCCACCACGAGCTAATAGTAAAAGTAAATTGTCCGTGATTCTTCTTCGCAACATTGATCCTAATAATGGGTTGTGTAACAGTACTAGACTGATGGTAAGAGCATTTCAAGATAATACAATTGATGTTGAGATTATTGGTGGTCAACATGCTAGCAAAATGACGTTCATCCCACGAATCCCTTTGTCTCCCTCCGATGATGTATCTTTTCCTTTCAAAAACAAGAGGAAGCAATTTCCGATAAGACTTAGCTTCGCAATGACCATTAACAAATCATAAGGACAAACCATCCCAAATGTTGGGATCTATCTTCCAAAGCACCTTTTTTTCACATGGCTAGCTTTATGTCACATTGTCAAGGGGTTTCTTAAGGCAAACAACAAAGATTTTGGTAAAGCCAAAGAAAGAAGTAGACTCCACAGGGAAGAGCACTAGAAATATCGTGTATAAATATGATCTTGACTGGTGAGCAAATATAGGTTCGCATCATCAAAATTAATTCGAAAACATATTCTAGAAGAAAGTAAATTGTTGATCGGAATGTTACTCAACAACGTCCTCTTGTTTTGTACAGCATGACATCACCATTCAGGTGGAATGTTTTGTGATTATCTTTTGCATACCATCGTGTTCTATATGTGTCAGTTTGCATTGGGTTGATAACATGACTATTAGTTAACACTTGTGTCTCTCTAAATATGTACTTTTGCCGTCGACAAATTTTATTAGTCGATCTTGAAAGAATCAATATTTTTTGAAGTACAGACAAGAAAAATGAATGGAATTGACCTAAGGGAACATCTGAATTCGTGGCAAGTGGAATTTTTATTGTACTCTATATAATTTTTCTAGTCGCGACATGCGAATCCATTTTAATTTTTTTTAGCAAATAGTTAATTAATTTCACATTGATTCATCGCTCCGAATTCGTTAACGAGATTACCAACAATTGTTATATTATTATACATTGTGAAATTACTAATTTGACATGGTGAAACAAACTGAGTGCAAAAGCAACATTCCTAGCGGTGTACTAGAATTTCTTAAGTGTATCACAAATGCTAAACATTATAATAGTTATTTACCTACAAAGTATATTCTACTCCCTCTGTCCCAATTTATAAAGCCTATTTTTCTTTACACGGTCTTTAGTGATATATTTTGACCATTAATTTATTCCATGTTATGTTCCTAACAAATATGAAATTAGCATCACATGAAAATACTTTAAAATTTAAATCTAGTGATATAACATGTATAATACTTCACATATATATGATTAGTATGATTGTTTGTCAAAAATTACCGAATTTGATTTTCCTTAAAAAGAGGACGCCCTATAATTTGGGACGAAGGGAATATATATGTATCAAATGCTTTATTTTGTGCCCGCAACAAATAATGGAATAACTCTATACTTTTTAACATAATTTTTATTAAGCGCATATTGCCCTTGTATATTGTATACTGAAGTGATTATATATAATTGATCTTGTAAAGATTTATTGTGCTCACGCAATATCATATTATTGTACTTTACGTGGAATATATTTGATGTACGATATGAATTGAGTTAAAGTGCAAATGCACAAATCATAGAAAAATATTTTTTACTAACATAAAATTTTAAAAATTATTAAAGACAAATAGAAGTGCACAGTAGCGTTTAGCACGGGGCATATTACTAGTAGGGTAGATTTAAAAACTGAGGTGCTTACTTTTCTCTGGAGCTATATCTGTTTGACACACTTCAACTAGATTGGTTATTATCAAAAAAATACTGTTGAAATTAAGGTCAGCCAGGAACTGTACAGAATCTTTGCGATGGTTTAAACACGTTCTAGATTACTATATCTTTGTTTAAAAACAAATTCTACAACTTTTGAGGACAATGGATGTCACCTGAGACTGCTGATGAGTACACACTGCTACCTTGGTCTGCTTGTCATGA